CCTTCCTCACTCCTCGCAGCGTCACCACAGCCTGTGATTATCATCGGTAATGTTTTCAGTGGGGGGCAGTTGATTGGCGTAGTACCTGCTCCTGTCTTGGTCACAGGTTTCTGCTCTTCACATTATTTTTTTTGCAGAGCGAAGCACGATGTATAGATCATAGTAAATAATAAATACTTCTTGAATGATTTGATAAATTATAAATGTAGTTTAGTGAGTAGTTGTAATGTTTCTAACCTCCATGTAAACAGAAAGATTTTTAAAAGATACATGACCTAAGTTTTTCTATTTTCAATATATAATATTTTTATTTTCTATAATGCTCATTTTTCTTACATTAAATACTCAGTTTATGAGAGCTACAGTGAAGGTTCATATGAATAAGTATAAGGTAATATGCTATAAAAACGATGATATTTATTCCTAAGCTTTAAAAAACAGAGGGTAAAAATAGGAATTAGCATAATTAAAATGATAACAGAAAGAAGCTAGTCCCACAGCCTAATTTGAACACCATGACTGGTGTTCTAACTACAGTACTAACTACACTTCATTTAAAACAGCAAGTTCAGAGCGAGTGTTAGCCAGGCGGTGCTCTTTATAATAATGGTTTATATTTCAACATTTATAGATCTCGTCCCAGAATTTATTTTATGTGTTCCTTAGAGCAACCCATGAGGTATATGGAGAAGATATTTCATTCTCATTTTACAGATGAAAAAACTGAAGTGCAGAACAGATAGGAATCTTTTTTTTTATTTAAATCCTCACCTGAGGATATTTTTCCCATTGTTTTTCTGAGAAAGTGGAAGAGAGAGAGAGACATTGATTGGTTGCCTGCTGCATGCACCCCGACTGGGGCAGGTGACCGAGCCTGCACCTGAGGGATGTGCCCTTGACCGGGATCAAACCTGAGACCTTCAGTCCGAGGGCCGATGCCCTAACCACTGAGCCAGAGCGGCCCGGGCCAGATAGGAATCTTGCTTAAGATCGTCTGATTAGGGATTGCTAGTTCAGTGGTCTCTCCACGATAAAATACTGTGTCCCACGGGAATCACAGGACATATAATAGGAGTCAAAACTCAGGAGTCAAGGCCAAGCAGGGGACACATGGACTGTGGGAGCTGGGAGGGGGTTTGGCGAGAGGACTCCTCACTTGGCTAGTGCCCCACAGAAAGGCGGGCCCAGGATTCCCCAAGAAAAATTGGATCGACCTAAAGTCTTCTCACTTCTAAACATTGACAGCTATTTCCGTCTTCAAATAAACAGACACTGATGACCACTAATCTGCCTGTGGTTGGCTTTGACCTTGGGCTGGAAGGTTGCAACCTCCTTGATGTCAAATACATTTTTTTTTTTTTTCCCCTGAAAATTTCAGTAGATCGTCAAGTACTCAGAGCTTTTGGAAACAAAGCCAATGGGATCTCACAATGTGGCCTGAAAAGTGGCTCTTGAGAAGAGGGTGTCATAATGTGTCCTATCTGCCAGCTAAAGACACTCTCCTGGCTGAGCATACGGGTTTGATGTAGCAGCAGGACAAGGTGACCGCGCTTCATTACAGCGCGGGGCCGACTGTGTAGACGTCAGTTGATTTGGCTGCAGGGGAAATAATTACGTGTTAGACCCTGGAAGGATCCACGTGGCCTCCCGATGGCACGGGCTTGCCCTCCTGCCCAGTGACAGCCTCTGGCGGCAGGTTCTTCAGAGCGTCTCGGGTTGGAACTGACTCTTCGGCAACCGTCCGGCTTGAAATGCTGAGTCCTGGAGTTGCTCCGAATACGGGAGCCTGGCCTTGCGAGGAAGCATCTCTCGCCAACCTCTGAAGGCTGGAGTTTTGTAGGGACCCAGACGGACGCGAGTCGCGCCCTGTGTGTCTGCAAGTCTGAACATAGCAAAAATTTAGGATGACAACACTTTTACTTTTGAACAGATAAGGGAAGTGATCTGATTTGGAAGCCTGGTGATATATTCAGTTACGCTCTGCTGTCAACACAAACAGGCTCACGCTCACCGCTCAGAGTCGGTTTGGGGGACTGTGGAACTACGGCACTTACAGGTAATAAGAGCTGCCTGCGTTCATTATTGCTGCTGTCGGAAGCCCTGGAGAATACCCGAGGTTTGTTGTGAGTAAACATCGTTTGAGGAAAGGATGCTGTTTCCATGACATTTACAGGCAGGAAACTCGGCTTCCGTCTGCTCAAGGACGAGGGGTGGTTACCTCGTGTTTGAACTACGGTCCTTTAGTCCACACGTCAGGAATTCACCTCAAACTTCAGTATCCCGCATCATTCCTTTCAAGCCACCTCCTTGCTGTCTCCCTCCAGGCACGGTCCCTGGCCCCAGGCCTAATGCAGGCCTTTTCGGAGGACCATCGCAAAAAGTCAATAGACTTCTGGGAAAAAGTCATCATCGTGAAAAGTATTGAACTTATGAAATGCTTTTCATGGTCAAAGTGATTTACAAACGTTAATTAATCACCGTTCAAGGGGAGGTCCCCACGCAGTGCAGCCTTTGTTCCAGGAATGAGCGTGAGGCGCGAGGACCGCAGCCCAGCGGGCCTCCTGGCCGGCGGCTGGGGCGCAGCATCTAGTCTCTCCCGCTGGGCTCGGCTGCTTCCTGCGGACAGAGGCTCATCGGGAGGCTCCCCCGATCTCACCTGGGGCCAGACGAGCGTCTTCCATGAGCCAGGTGGTGGTAGATGTTTTTGAAAACAGGAGAGTGATTCAGCAGCATCCCTGCCGTTTCCTCAGAAAGGACCACTTTCCATATCACTCTTCAGATGTATCCCAAGAATATATTATTTTGCCAAAATCCAGAGGTTGGTTTAGCTCATTATTTTAGTCAGGCTTATAAAAGAAAAATACTTATTTTCCTGAGGACACTAAGGAAAAACAAATTGTCCCACCAGTTGGCCGAATAAATCAGTTCAGAAAGCAAAACATGTGTTTTAAGCATCATTTTCTCTGCCCAGGACTGTAGGAAGCGCTGGCACGGACAGGAATATTAAAAATAATGGGGGAAACCAATTTTTTTTTTTTTATGAAAATTACTTTGCTATAAAGACAGGAAAGACAGCCTAATAGCTACTGTATATAATTTCATGAAAGAAAACAAATTTAATATAGAAACGTAGAAAGCACATAATCTCCAGATTTTAAGATACTGAAAAATTCAGGCCTTTGATATCCTTTTTTCGTTACTATCTTAATTATATCCCCAGCTTGCTATAAAAGGTGGATGGGATTTCCTAGACCTGGGGTTGTGGTTGCATTGATGAACACGAACAGCAATTCCATAGACTCAGGCACCTCTGTTCAGACAGCACAGTCAGATCTTGACAAGCTGTACTCAGTGGACTTAAAGTCAGACTCACTAATATGATGGTAATGAGATAACAGCAGTGATTTCCAGACTTTTGACTCTCAGAGGATAAGTTTGGAATAATAATTAGTGCCTTCCGAGGCAGAGCTCACCAGGTTGTAAAGTCAGTCAGTCTCCCGCCTTCAAAGTCATTGAATCAATTTATATCAAGTTACCGACTCTGCCAAGTAAGAAAATTTAAAACAACTCAGAAAGTAAACTAGTGTTTATACCCAACTCCGTTTCATCAAAGAGTGGACATTTTACCACAGAAAGCAGAAGAAAGTCATAATTTCCCACATATTGCATAAATTATTCACATCTCACCCCACTGTCTGAATTTTTCTCATTTTTTTTCATTGAGCAATGAAAACTTTATCACAGCCGTACCTACGGGGAGTGTATAGAAGTTGACATCCGGAGATGGAGTAATGACGGTGGGCGGGGAGAGGTCATAAGGAATGGACGCTGTCACTTACAGGGTCCCTAGGAGCCCTTCCTAAATGCAGAGGAGCGTACATATCACACAATGGATGGGTGGAGCCCTTGGCTGGGTGTCATGCATGGCTTTAAAATACAAAGAGCCCAGCAGATGAGCACCGACCTGGATCCAGGAGATCTCAGTTCGATTCCCGCTCAGGGCACATGCCCGCGTTGAGGGCTCGACCCCTAGTCGTGGGGTGCAGGAGGCAGCCGATCAGTGACTCTCTCATCATTGATGTTTCTCTCTCTCCCTCTCCTTTCCTCTCTCTGAAGTCAATAAGGATATATTTAAAAAAAAAACAACAAATAAAAACGACAGAACCCAATTGTGAGGATTGTGTGATTGGAAGGTTGTGAGGAGAGTTGGAATATTTTCAACATGATGAAGAGGTTCCACATGTTACGAAGGCAACGGGACTGGGACCGGGTCTCACCCCTCCCTCCCAGGACGTCAAACTGCTGGGCTGGCAGCCAGGACCGCCCGAGGGCAGGACTGTCCTCCCGGCCGTCTGGGAAGGGAGCGGATGGCCACACAGATGGCCTGGCCACCTCCTAACCTTTCCTCCTCCGCACTGTGCGACCCCGAGAACTGGACCCTGGACTGAAAACATGTTCATACCAGCGAGGACTCAACCCACACAGCCTCTCTAAGCCTTGGACAGTGTAGGGGTTACTTTTATAGCTGGAGAGAAGACTGGCAAAGAAATAGTTGGACCAAAATGTCAAAAACCTGGTTAAATATGCTGTTCCCAGATTTATTTATTGTACAAAAATAAGGCCACATACATTGCTAACAACTTGTCATAATTACCTGAGATTTGTTCATGCAACGGCTTCGTTGGCAGAATACAGAACTGTTTGAAAATTAAGCTTTGCGATGAGGAGCTGCTTCCTGTATACTAGAGTTTTAGATTTAGGTGGGTGTTTATTTCCCTTTTTCTTTGCCATCCAGCCCCTTTTCTGCCATAATTAGCACTGAACCTCCTAGAAACTGTGTTAGAAGCATATTATTGGTACAGCTATTTCTTGTCCCAACTTGATTCAGAGATAGAAGTGTGTCACCTTTGGAATGCTCACATTTTTGAAACATCCCATCTAGAAGCACATCATTTTATTTTATTTCTAAGTAGGGTAAAAATTTTGAATACTGAAGTAAATTGCCGAGAGCATGTAAAAATGTACATTTTAGCTATGATAGCTGCAATCTAGTTCAATTTATCATCGTCATCAAGGGGAGTTATTTATACTCTGCCTATAAGTCACTTGAAAGCCAGAGCAGTTAAAGTCCACAGATTAATTTGGCACCTTTGGAATGAGTGCAATCATGTGCAGACTTTAAATTCAAAGGGTTTAAAATTGCTTTATTACTGTACCATAGATATTTACAAGATCTTAATAATATACATGTTTTTTCTTTCCAAACAAGTCTGTGATAAGAATGTATCTCGGGCGGGGGCTGGGGAGCGTATGTACAGAACGACACGCCTTCAGACGCCTCACAGGATGTATGGATTCATCGTGTAAGCGGCTGAAGAGCAAACCAGTAAAAAGTGGTGATGACCAGGGACAGGAAGTGGACGCTGGGTTCTGCAACTGGACCTCCTCTGGAGCTCAAACCTGCAGAATATAAAGGGAAAACACAACCTCCTGAGAAAAAGTAAGATTGCTTGTCAGATGAATTCTTCCTGACCCAAATGCATATTGGCATTTTTCTCCTAATAACATACTTTAGAACAAACACTTGTTTCATTTTAGGAAGAATCCTGCCCTCTGTTTTAAATTCAAAAATAAACTGATGAAAATGCCCAAATGGCCAAGTCTGACTGCAGGGTGGATGGGGCCTGGCCGACCCCCGGTGGCTGATGACTTTCACCGGAGGCAGCTTCAGGTGACGAGTCACTGACTCATCTGCAGCAGAAACGACACACAGTTCTGTGCTCACCGGGACTGACCGGTGCTACCGGCTGCGAGCACTGTACCCGAGGGCCTGTGACTCAGCTCAGCATGGACTCAGTCTTTAGCGATGTTCGCCACGGGGGCGGGAAAGGTGCACATGCACTTGCTCTCCCTGCGCCAAAGCCCACCTGTGTCCATGGAAAAGCTGTGTGATTTTTGTCCAATAGGACGAATCACACACGATGACACAGTTTTTCATCTTTGGGATTCAAAGGAGGAAACATAAAGCTGTGTGTGTTGTGCAAACATGGTTAAATTTGAGGGGTTAAGGAAAAACAGACATCACCCCTTGCTCACAATTCAATGGAAACACAGACCTTTTATTTTTTTCACCCAACGTGTAAACGAGAACTGAAAGGAACCACAGAGCCCAGATTTCATGGTGCAGCTGGAATCAAAGTCTACAACAGCCACGGTGACCCAACTTACTGGACATTTTTGGAATCCTGATCTCCTCGCTGCTGCTTCCGTCCCCGCCATCGCTGACTGTCCTAATCTCAATCAGGTAGTCCTCTTCGAACGGGACCAGCAGCTCAGCCGACGTGTTGTTTGTCTCCAACACGTGGGTCTTACTCTGTCGGTTTTGCCGGTATAGGATCTGAATAAAATGGGGAATTAGGTTAAATGGACATGTTCCTCTTCTAAGATTCAGACACTCTTAAGGAACACAAAAGACACGTCGTTATAAGTGCTGGACTCCTGGCCTGGCCAGGTAGCTCAGATGATTGGAGCATTGCCCTGATACACCAAGGTTGTGGGTTCGATCCCTGGTCAGGGCACATACAAGAATCAACCAGTGAATGCATGAATCAGTGGAACAACAAATCAGCGTTTCTCTCTCAAATCAATCAATCGATAAACTTAAATGCTGTACTCCTTGGATGGAAGTACCCAGTCTATGCCTTTTTTTGAAAACTTAATAATAAGGAAAAGATGTGCTTTTTTGGCCAATGCTTCTGAAATGAGAATAGATTTATCTCTATTAATTAAATAGCTCGAGGCTGTTCTCTTTGAGGCTTGCTGTGAGAAGGCACTGGGTATCTGGGCTCCATTTCAGATTTCTGAGTATGTGCATTTGCCAGAGGTCGCCCATCAGCTCTGATGGAAGTTACATGCTCTGGGTATCTGACTGGGCTCCTGCCTGATTCCTCTTATGTTGGTAAATGATCCCATCTTACTAAGTTCCAGAAAATCTACTGGAATAATATTCCTTGACCCCACTCCCATCTCACTCACATTTACTACCCACACATACACCCTCATTTTCTGAAGGCAAGGAGAGTCACTGGAAGAAAAATTCTTGCAAACTATGGCGTTTTATGTCTTCATGCTCCATGACACATTATGGACCTCAGGATATAAAGCTTTTCAGGGAAGAAGTTAAAAACAGCAACGCTAAGTATTTTCAGCACGTATTGTAGAAAGATTCCTCCATTTCCACATGCGTGAAATGTGTTTCATATTTGGCTGTGACCTTCCTGGTTCTTCAGTAACTTAATTGATAGGATTAAAGGAGATACTGGATAGTCACCTTGTAGCCGAGCACTTCAGATTCGTTTTCCATGGTTTTCACGTGCTCCCAGTTCAGGCATAATTTGGAGTTTGTCAGCTTCCACGCAATGTTAGCTGGGGGTTGGCTCGGAGCTTTAAAGAGATAATCAAAGATCTAAATGAATATTCATTAGCTGATGGTTACTCTGACCTGTCAACATGAAAGAAACAGTAACTCCTGGGCGATTAGCACGGAAGGAGCTAAAATGTTTTCAGTATCATGTGACACAACACATTAATTCTAATTAGAGTAAGCAAATTCGTTCAAATCCTGGTCATTTGGGAATGTCCATGATGAACTTATGAATTAATAACGCTTGTCGCATGTCCGGGGTTAATTTATGAATCGTTGCTGTTGTGTTTTTTTACTTTGCCACATGTAACGAGACAGGGCCCCTCTTCCTAGTGCTCCACTTGTCTGTCTGTCAACACGCACATCAAACAAATTCAGGCTGCAAACCTTTGACACGTGTGGACACAGAGGATTCCTTCTGAGTTGTCTCTTACTCTTTAACCTTGTGTCAGGACTCTTTGACTGTAAATAGCAATCAAGTCAAGATGTTTTAAGCAAAAATTAGTAATAAGTAGTGAAGGATACAGGGAATCTTTTAGAACTCCGGTGGGATGGAGCACAGACTCAGGAGGGGCAAAGAAGTGTCAAATAGCCAAGCAGTTCCTCTGCTTCTCAGCTGCGAGTGGCAGCTGGGCTTGCTCAGGACCACTTCTCTCTGTCACTCTCGGGGCTGGTGGCCGAAACCGTGGCCGACCACCACACCCGAGGTTGGAAACCTGTGGCCAGAGGGGGTCTAGGCTGGAATTCTCAGGACAGAGCTGATGGCTGCCTCAATCTGGCCATAAGTCCATTTTAGCCTGTTTGACTGGCTGAGAGTGAGAAGGGAGAATGTCATTTAATGCAAATGGAGCTGCTGGGATCCCAGAGAAAGGAAGTCACTGCAAGCTGGGGGACCGCCCGAAAGGTGGCTACTCCAAGCCCAGCCCCTGGCTTTTGTTTCCCTGGAATTACTGCTGTCTGGGAGGAAGGGGGGAGGGAGGACAGACGGACAGGTCAGGGACCCGGCCCACCTGGAAAATCCTGCCCCAGAAAAGCTGAGCCCAGGCCTGGGCCCCTGAGCCGAAGCCTGCAGCCAATGAGAGCGCGAGTCTCCCCGGAGTCCCGCCTCCCGACTTCCTGCCTCGTTCACCTTGGCAACAGCCGCTGCTCAAAGCTCTGGGCCGCAGGAGGGAGTTTTAGACTTAAAAAGCTGGAGGCACTAAAAATAACTGGGCGGGAGGCAGAGGCGGCGGGGGACCCGCCCAGCCGGACCTCGGGCCTCGGCTCGAATCCGCGGCCGAGGGGCGCGTGCGACTCGCCGGGCCGGGGACCGGGAAGGATGGCGTTTGGAGGGGACCCAGCCGCGGCTTCCCCTTGCGGGGGGGCCCCCATCGTGTTATAGAAACTCCCCCAGCCCCGAGCCCACAGGGTCTCTCTCGCGGCGGTCACGCAGCTGCTCCCGCCCCCGCGTGCAGTGGGACGTTCATAGTTCAGCTCCTGGTTCCTTAGCGATTCTCACGGGAGTTACAGTTACTCCTGCCGTTGTGTGCGGTTACAATGTATCAAGGGCAGGTGTCCTGTCCGAGCGCACCAGCGGCCGCAGCACACGGACTGTGCTGGTGGACTGTGCCACCGGGAGCCGGCGGGTGGTGACTNCGGTCACGCAGCTGCTCCCGCCCCCGCGTGCAGTGGGACGTTCATAGTTCAGCTCCTGGTTCCTTAGCGATTCTCACGGGAGTTACAGTTACTCCTGCCGTTGTGTGCGGTTACAATGTATCAAGGGCAGGTGTCCTGTCCGAGCGCACCAGCGGCCGCAGCACACGGACTGTGCTGGCGGACTGTGCCACCGGGAGCCGGCGGGCGGTGACTCAGGCATGCTAATCATGCCCCGGGCTGTGGGCAGATCCGCAGTGACCCAGGGCGACCTGTCCACTCATCACGCCGTCCAGTAATCCGGGCTGCTCCGCGGCCAAGCCCACAGCAGTCCCCGTGGATTCCCAGGATGGGCAGGCCTGGCGGGGGGACCTGCCCTCTGCCCTCCTGGGCAGCAGAAGCCCAGTCAAACCAAGGCTGAGAGTGGGGCAGGTGGTCAGCCCTCTGTGCTCGCTGCTCAGCAGTGTATTCCTGAAGGACGACCAGATAGCGCCCTGTGGCTGTTCTCCCTCCACCCAGCCCAGCTCGCTCCAGGCCTGTAACAGGCCGCATGAGGATTCTCACAAGGTGCTACAGTTTCAATGTCGAGTTTACTCTTGTGACACATTTATTTTATCTTTGTTCTTCAGAACAGCACAGAACATTAACAACCTCATACGATCGATACTGAGAAAAGATAAATCCCCTCCTTCGACGTCAGGGGCAGTGATGGATTTGGAAGGTGCCATCTATAGCTGCGTCTGTTTGGTGTGGTGGTTTGTTTAGATAAAACTGTTCTCTACACTGTAAATCTGTTGGTAAAGCCCGGGCTGGGACAGAACTGACGTCCACGAGCTCCGTGGCCATGGCCGTGGCCGTAACCGTGGCTGTGGCACTGGGACATCTGCACTTGTTTCCTCACCCACCAGAGAAGAGCCAGGCACCTGTGCACATGGAGTTGGGGGGTTCTTTGGAGAGGGAGCTCGGGCTGGGAGGTCAGTCGTGTAAACAGAGACTGGAACCTGTATCTAGGCTCCTCCAAGAGGCCTGCTTTTCCCATCTTTGGAATGCGACTAAAATCTCCTAGTTTGTAAATGTTTCAGCATACATCAAATAAAATGAGCTATTCCTCACTTGGTTAGTGGTGCATATTAAACAGCTCAGGGTCTGTGAATTCTCTCTCCTGATCGAGGCAGTTACCCACTGTGGTGTTATGACATCATCAATTTCTCATTGTGTTCAAAGTGGTTTGTTCCTAATAATTCAATTCCAAAGTTTGCAAATGATTCACATCTTAAATATAATCAGGGTGCATTCAAGACTTGAGCCCGGGTGCTTTCTGTAAGGTAGATACAGTGGTAGAGCCTCAGCTGTTATCTGGGGCATTTCCGTGGTCTATAGCTTTTCTCATCTTTGCCCCTTAGTGTGACTCCAGTGTCAAAGCCATCTGCCTGGTATTTTATAAAAGTTCCTGAGAGTTGCTTTAGAAGGCACCTTATCGTGAACATTGTTAACAGATCTGCATCATGAGTTTTATGAAACTGATTAAACTGAATTGCAAATATCTATGATGAAACAGATTTCTGTTATCTTGAAAAACCAACTAAGGCCATATGGATAACACGAAACTCATGCCGTGGATGTTCACACGTGTCGGTCAACGGTGAACTCAACCAACAAGCACTTTTCTAATTTTCAAAAAAAATCTTTGCAGGCAATTTCCAAAGAGTAAGTCATTTTCTGTTAATCAAGTGACAGAGCAAACTGCACCGGCCTCCACAGTGCAGATCAATTTTCCCAGAGACGGCATTTACATTCAACTGTGGTTCCCACTGTGAACTCGATTCAGAAAGCAGCCTCTTCTGTTGCAGCTCTAGGTAACAGCATGGGGTTGACATTTGGGAGGGAGCGAGAACATGAGTGCGAGAGGAAATGAAAGCTCAATGCTCCCTTTATGTCTAAATATGGGTGATGGCACATGCCCCGCCAGAGAAATCCAGAGCTGGTCAGTCACAGTCAGGGGCCAGCTTGAACCAGAACTGCGGGCGCTTTCTGCTGCTGGGCCTGAGTACCCTTTTCTCGGGGAGCGGTGCCTTTTTTTTTCTAGTCCCCTTGGAGTTGATATATTTGTTTTTTCTCTTTAGTTGTAAATCTAAATTCCATTTAAGTGATGTCTGCGTGGATCACACTATATTTTGAGCGCCCCTCAGTTGTCTTTTGGGAAGACCTCGTTATGAGACTTGCTGTTACATCACTGGTGCTGCGTAAAGAGCCAGCTGTCCTGCCCTGGCTGGGGCTCAGTGGTTAGAGCGTCGGCCTCAGACTGAAGGGTCTTCAGTTCGATTCCCGTCAAGGGCACGCAGCTCAGCTGCAGGCTCGATCCCCGGCCCCGGTCGGGGCGCGTGTGGGAGGCAGCCAATAGGTGTGTCTCTCTCACATGGATGTTTCTCTCTCTCTCTCTCCCTTCCACTCGCTCTGAAAAGCAATAGAGAAAATATCCTTGGGTGAGGATTGAAATAATAATAATAAGAGCCAGCTGTCGTCATCACCAGCAGCACCGGTAGCAGGAGCTGGTGCGTTCCTTCCACATGGAGGCCCCCGTCCACGGGCTCCTCTTCATCTTCATTTCACGTGGACACAGGCAGCCTTCCCCACACAGCGCGGCTCCTTATGTCCATCTCAGCCTCTTGTTTCCTTCAGGGTGCCTTTCGCGATTCAGGACTATTTCATGGCCTTGGTTTTTTCTTGTTTTGACTCTTCACTAGAAGGGAAATTGCCCAAAGGCAGGGACCTGGTCTGATTTAATCTCCCTCAGGCCACCCACCCCGTGTGTGGCTCACGGGAGGCCCTGTGTCCTTGAATGTTTGATGGAATCACCGTAGTTCCCCCCAAAGGCTCTGTCTCCTGTTTTGCTGGCCCAGTCAGAAGGGACAGAGGTTTTGGTAAAGGTGAGCTGTGCTCTCAGTTTATGATGGATGGTCAAACATCAGACTGAGAACCTAGATGTGACTGTGTGAGTGCGTGAAGGATGCGGGGG